ATTGGATGTGATATAATAATTATCAAAGAGACTCATGTAGGGGTAACGATTGTAAGTTTGTAAAATATGCAAGGGTATACTTACCACTTGAAAATTTATTAAATGGCCACTATTCACTATTCTTTAAAAAAAAAAACATTTTTTTCAAAGTATGGTAGATTATGCTTCTACTTTTCTATGCGTTTCAACTGTCATTGGCAACAATTTTTAAAAAACCTTTTTTTTTTTTTTTTTTTTTTTTTTTTTTAACCAAACACATTTGATTTTCTAGATTTTTTTCCCTCCTATTACCATCCCCTTTGTGACAACCCATCCTTAATTTTATGATTTTATAAATTTTAAAAGTGTGAATTGACCAAAATGCCCATTGAAGTGAATTGTTGACTATTATTGACCATTATTTCGTGACATGTACGAGCCACTATTTTATCGTATTCTCGATGTACTCGACTGTAGGAACACGTAGGTGCAAGTGGAAATGAATTTGGAGCTACGATAAAGATTTTACGAAACTACGAAACATGAAGGGTGATTTGGTAATTTCATATTTAGAGATATTTTTGTGTCTTGTTTTGTGAGCCAGATGGGGCCCACACTCCACCATTCCCTTACTCACATGTCCCCTTTCAAACCTTGGGACCTATCCCACACTGCCACCTCACTTTGTCCCTTTCTTCCCTTAAACTCTCTCATTTTCTCATCCTTTCCAGTTCTCCCACGGCGTGAGATTGCAACCACCGACATCGAGGCCAACGACCACCTAACCCTCACCAGTTCTCCCTCTTCTCTTCATCTCAAACCTTGAGACTTTCTCTCTCTCTCTCTCTCTCTCTCTCTTTTCCCTACGTTTACTGCACAGATGCAGTCAAACCATCCACTACAGGCGTCGACGAGATGTCGCAAATTTTGGGTGAAGGTGAGTCGGAAAATACCTTGGGATGAATATCTCTAGTTGCTTAATGTAAATCTAAGTGTGATAAGTGATTTTGGGTAGGTTTTGTAACAGAAATAATTTGGGAAAACTATTTCCCCAAAATTTTCTTGCGGACCCGTGTGTTACAGGCCATTTTCAGCCACTTTTCGATCATGATTGTGAACCAAAATGGTATAACTCGAATCCCTACCATCCTAGCTTCATTTTGATGTTTAAATGGTGGATTTAGGTTGAGTTTTGAAGTTGATCCAAGCCGTGAAAGTTTCTTGACCATATTTTTCCAGAAACCGACGATTGGACCCATGATTAGGGCTAGGTCAACCCGATTCATTTAAAAAAAAATAGAAAGGGCTTAAGCCCAAACTCGGCCCAAATCATAAGCCCCAACCTTTAGGCCACAACCCCAGCCTGGCCCATTTTTGAAATGGGCTCATAATATTTTAGGAATATTCTTCAGAATATTCTTGGAATATTCCTTATGTTGACTTGTTCGAAATTTCTCGAAAACCCTCCTAGGCTAATTTCGACGTCCCAAGTCCATTTTTGACAACCATTTAGTGAAATTCTAAAGTTTTAACATAGTTGACCACTAGTGCGTCTCGATTGACTTTTTAAGGTTGACCGTTGACTTTTTACGAAACCTGCCCGTTGACTAATTCCAAATCCGCCTTCCGTTTCTCCAAATTCAAATGTTTTAAGTGAGTTTTATTAATGGGTCTCAATATTACGCTTACGTGCGATTATTATCGGAGACTTCGGCTAGCCTAGTTCGAATGGCTGCGACCTCACAAGTAATTGTGAGTGGGTCTTTGCTTTTAAGTATTATATATTTATTTAGTTTCCATTTATACATTTGAAAAAGGATTTCCTACGTATGCCTAGATTAGACTAATGTTTATAAGAATTAGCGAAATAACGGAAATTATGAAATTATCCTAAGTCCTACGGGATGCACATGTATGCGTACTTTTATGGGATTTTAATTATAGCCATGATTAATATTTTATTTATTACTATTATGTCGATGTGAATTATCAATTTACTGTTGCATGATTGTATTTACGTTATTTGCTCATTGTTGTTGCACCGGTGTTAGTACTCGTTCCGGTCAATGCCAGTCTTTCACGTGTATGTGCACATTGCACCGTACGCTCACTTTGGATCCATTGTAGGTGCCAGTCCTATCCTAGATTGCTATAGGCAATTAGGACTTGTATGTGCCGCGCATAGCGCCAGTCTTCACGTGATCGTAGTACTAAAACATATATCATTGTTACACCCAATCATGTTCATGTCAAAATATTTTTGCATGAACTCGTGTGTCAGCATGTGTCAATAAGCACTCGATATGATTTGTTTGCTTATGCGAGATTTTATGATTATGGACATCATGGTTTATTTACGAAATATTGTGCCGTATTGAATTTTTGAGATATGGCAGGCTATGGTAAGTATTTTCTTACTATACGTAGTATGTATATTTTGAAAAGTATACTTGTTTTACGGCGAGGGGTTATAATGTTTTCAAAAAGGTTTTTATAAAGCTTTGTTTTTAGGCCCACTCACCCTTATTTTTCGCCCTTCTAGGTTTTAGTGCTGAGCTTTCGTGTCAATGAGGATTCTTGACAAATCTCGGTATAGGTGGCTACCTTTGATGGTATAATTCTTATCCTACCTTACTGTATTTTACTTATACTTTGACATCACGTGTGAAATGGGTTCATTCCCGCTCACAAGCACACTCTTATATTTAGGCACTTTTAGGTTTAAATTTATTCACATTTTCCACTTCACTACACTTTATGGTTTCGTCACCCTCTTGGTATCAGCCAACACAGCTCGATTCGGAGTCCAGGTGGACATTCTGAGTCGGGATGTGTCACCATTCCCGCTCTCCTCTCATATTGTCCTTTTTTTCTTGTTCTCCATAAAAAAATATTTAAAATAAGATATTGACATGACTTAATGGTAACCACTTAAATAAGAGGTGATGAAAGAGGAGAGAGATTGAAAGGGAGAGAATGAGAGAGATTAAAGGGAGAGAAAATCTTACTCTTTTTTTAAAAGCACCACCAAAGTTTCTAATATCTTTACTTTTTTTAATCAAAATATCACATTTGATGTTCCGTCAAAGGTGTCGTTAACTGATAACGTGGGGCCCCGTGGATAATGACTAGGCACCACATGTTAATATGGCCCCATTTTAAATTTCAAAAATTAAAAACCTAACGGCTACAAATCTTGGATTTGGATCCCATCCGAAACCAAATTATGGGGATCCTAGGGATCCTCACATGTTAGTCGTTCATCGTAAATCGTGTGACCATAATTCATTTTTTAAAATTTAAAATTAAAATAAATAGTGTCTAACGAAAACTGACCACACAATGTACGATGAACAACTATGATATGAGGATCGCTAGGATCTCCATAAAAAGGATCTGGAGAGGATCCTCATCCACAAATCCTGCCATATGGTTTAGTCTTGTAGTTTATAGGTTTTTCAATTTAAATTTTTGGGTAAGGCACAAAAAACTATCTCAACTATTGGTGTCACGACATTTTCATACCTCATCTTTTAAAGTTGACAATGTCATACCTCATTTTTAGAATTTGGTTCAATGTTATACCTTCCGTTACTTGGCCGTTTAGTTTTCAGTTAAATGCTGATGTGACTTGATTCAGAACCCATTTTCTATTAAAAAATTATTAAAAACTAAAAAAAAAATCCAACCCAACCCGCATGTTCGTTCTTTCCCAACCTCTCTCTCTCCCCATCTTCATCTTCATCCCTTCTTAATCTTCAACCAAAAAAAAAAAAATTTGAAAACCCATCAAACCCCCCACCCACCACCCCCCCTCCCGGGGGAAGAAGAAGAAGAAGGAGGAGAAGGAGAAGGAGGAAGAAGAAGAAGAGGAAAAAAAGGAGAAGGGGGAAGAAGAAGAAGAGGAAGAAAAAAAAAAAAAACTCCAACCCAACCCAATTCGCGCCCCCCCCTCCCTCCCCCCCCCCCCCCCAACCCCTTGCAACCCAGAAAAAAAAAAGGAGGAAGAAGAAGAGGAAGAAAATAAAAAAAAACCCAACCCAACCCAATTCGTCTCCCACCCCAAACCCAACCCCCTGCCAACCCAAATCCACCACTCTCATCCATTCTCCACATCCTCTTCCACACCCATCCTCCACCTTCTCCGCACACCCGTCTTCCCGCCAACGAGATCTGGATTTTTTTTTTCTTTTTTTTTCTGGGTTGCAGGAGGGAGAAGAGGGTGGGTTAGATTTTTTTTTTTTTTTTTTTTTTTGGGGTTGTAAGTGGGGGGAGTTTTTAATAATATTTTAATGATTTTTCAATAGAAAGTAGGCCCTGAATCAAGCCACGTCAGCATTTAACTGAAAAGTAAACGGCCAAGTAACGGAAGGTATAACATTGGACCAAATTCTAAAGATGAGGTATAACATTGTCAATTTTAAAAGATGAGCTATGAAAGTGTCGTGACATCAATAGTTGAGGTAGTTTTTTGTACTTTACCCTAAATTTTTTAATATTCACGTGGGTCCAGATTGGCACGAGGCGTTCAGTCATTGTCTACATAGATGACACGTCACAGGTCAACGATGGTTTTGACGAAAAGCTTAACAAATGTATGAAAAGTGTCTTAGAATTCTCACATTAGATACGAGACTAAGATGAAAAAAACTTGATGTATGAAAGTCTAAAAACCATGAATCTTCATGAAAGTAGAGAGAATTACCCTAAAATATATACGTCAAATGTTATGACCCCAAAGACTTCATGGATTGTTTTCTTCTCTCCACCCAACCGTACCCACGGCTGCCCACCTAACCCATAATCACTGCTTAAGCCTCCCCCCAGCGGGAGCACCACCACCACAACCACCATGACCACCCAACCCAAGCCCTAGTTTTAAAAAAGGTGGCCAAATCGGATTAAGGTAATAGGTATTCGGGAGATAACCTTGTGGTAAAAAAGTTAAGAATTAAACCCTTGTGTTGGTAGTCTCCTCCAAGTTTCCTCCTCCGTTTTCTTTGCTCGAGCCAGAGATTTTCCTGCCCATTTTCCCGGAAAATAAAAAATGAAAATGCAAACCAAAACCCTGATAGCTCACCCTCCTCACTCTCCCCTCCTCCAAAACCCTACTCCCAACGCTCTTTCTCAACCTTCTCTCTCCTTCACCAGTCCATCTCTCTCATTCCCCCCACGCTTTCACCACACACCTGCACTTCGCCTCCCTTGGCTACGCTCGTCCACGCCTATACGGCGTCGTAATCGGTTCTCAACCGCCTGCAATGCCCAAACACCTGGAGTCCGCGGCTCAGACGATGGAGGGGACGATGATGCTTCGGTGTCTGCGGAGGGAGTTGTGGAGGTTAAGAAAGAAGTGCTGGAGAGTCAGAATCTGTGGAGTCGGATGAAGGAGATTGCAGTGTTTACAGGACCCGCCACTGGGCTTTGGCTGTGTGGCCCACTTATGAGTCTCATCGACACCGTCGTCATCGGTCAGGGAAGCTCCATTGAGCTTGCTGCCTTGGGTACTTAGCTCTAATTTACTTTGATTTGATTGTTAATTTATACTTTTGTAAATTGTAATTGTGCTACTCTGTTTTACTATTTTGTGTGCAGGCCCTGGAACTGTGATGTGTGATTATATGAGTTATGTGTTCATGTTCCTTTCAATTGCAACTTCAAACATGGTTGCCACTGCGCTCGCTAGGCGGGTTAGTTTCTCGTTCCATCTTGGATATAACAATTGAGTTTGCCATGAATATTTTTTATTTGGTATTTTTGTATCACATTGATTCACAGAATTCTTAGGCGAACAATGCAACTTGAAAGGAATTAGAATTATAATATCACTCATCGAATGTAAGAACTTGTTCCGGTTGCTGAACAAAATGAGATATTTTCCCCTGGATTAGGTTTTATGAGATCAATCATTAACTTGTTCTTTAAAAACATATGCTATGGAATTTTTGCTATTGTTTTTTATATTACTTTCATGCTGTAAAGAGAGGCCATCCTGGATTGAGGATAGCTTTCTCGTTGTCAAAATGATATGTCAAAGTGGGGCTTTCAGTGGTTGAATCATGCACGTTGGATGGGTAGTCTTTTGCTCAAACATGTATTTGGTTCTTTTTTGAAATGTCATTGCAGGGCTTCTTTACTTAAACACATACAATGATAGTTGATGACTTGCTTGTGAGAATGGGCATGCATGAGTTTTTGTTGTGTGTCTTGTTCATCTGTTACTTTTTATGTTCATGCACTGTCAGTATGTACATTTGTTAATTGTTATCACTCCATTGTAATAGACTACATTTATTGCTTTGGCATAAAACCATGTATTCTTTCTCTTTTCTTTCATCTTTATTTTTCCGAGAGAAAAAAATTCTATTCTGTATTCTTGGGGATGCTCTTGCCGGATTCATTTGCTACTTTAATCACTATTTTCCATGACTTTTACTGTTTTTTTTTGACTTCTTAGAATTGGTGCAGGATAAAAGTGAAGTGCAACATCAGATATCTATTTTGCTCTTTGTTGGATTGGCCAGTGGCTTCTTAATGCTTTTATTTACAAGATTCTTTGGTTCATGGGCACTAACTGGTAATAAGGACTGGTACATATTTTAAATATCGCTTGATTGTTTTTTCTTTTTAAGTACTGCATCTTAGAAAATAGTACATAGCAAGAGTTTTCTGAGTTTGTAAAACTAGCATAGAATCATAGACGATTATCGACTAATACAATTTCTGGCCTTTTTAGCTTTTACTGGATCAAAGAATGCGGATATTATTCATGCTGCAAATACATATGTTCAGGTTTATTTCCTTCTTCTTTTTTCTTTTAATCGTTTATTTCCTTCAATGGATGATAATTTAACATATCTTTCTACTTCATGTTCTTCTACAAGTAGAAGAATCCCCTGTTGAATTTCTTTAAATGTTTTGTAATCTAACAGAATATTTTCTGTTGGCAGATACGAGGATTGGCGTGGCCTGCACTTCTTGTTGGTTGGGTTGCTCAGAGTGCAAGGTTATTATATCTCTACCCATGGATTATCTACAGCAGATAACCGTTTATAGATATAGATGTAAATCTGTAATCATAGAAGCTCCAGTTGTCCTGTTTGTTCAAATAATTAGCAACTTCTCTATGTAATGGATATGTTAACAGCCTTAATATCTTTTTAACCTGGGTGATATTGATTTGATATGGTGAGTGCTGAGAAGAATTTACTGTCGGAGAAAGAAAATTGGCATGGTATAGGAATTGAAAAATCAAATTCTGCTAAGTTAATATAATTTAATTTATGAATTTACATATCAGAAACAAGTATGAGACGAGCATTCTCAATTTGACCTTTTACTTTGACTTGAATCACTTATTTTTTGCCTAAGGGATGGTCATCTCTGGCAGGAAATTTAGATGCCAAGGTTAATGAGCTTGTGAGCAGCTGTTAATTCATTCAATATCTGATATTCTGAATCTGTTTCCCAGTCTTGGCATGAAAGATTCCTGGGGTCCTTTGAAGGCATTGGCTGTAGCCAGTGCCGTAAATGGAGTTGGTGATGTACTCTTGTGCAGCTTTTTAGGCTATGGTATTGCTGGTGCAGCGTGGGCAACAATGGTGTCACAGGTTTGAATATTTTATCATATGTTCTTAACAAATTAATTTCCTTTTTCATTGCTATTGACCGGTATGGTTTCAATATTCCGATCATGGCCTTGTCAAAGCATTAACTTGCTTTCCACAACTATTCACTGGTTTATTTTAGGTTGTTGCAGGATATATGATGACTGAAGCTCTCAACAAGAAAGGATACAATGCCTATGCCATCTCTGTTCCCTCGTCCAAGGAACTTCTAACAGTACTTGGACTTGCTGCTCCCGTATTTATTACAATGATGTCAAAGGTTATAGTTTACTCAATTAGATTTCTTTATCTAGTTTCATGCGAATTTGTCATCATTTAGACTCTTGAACTCACCCTCAAATTGATAAGGGGCAATTTTGAACTGGAACTCCAAAATTCTTGGATGCCGATGCTCTCCTGAAGAACAACTAGAAATATTAGTCTGCTTTAACAACTTAGGCATCATGTGATACAACTAGATGGCATTATGTGTCTTCACAACTCAAAGACATCATAGAGACGTTTGTTCAGAAATATGACGACGTAGATATAACAAAGCGAAGTTTGTCGAAAAAATGAAACAAAATTCTCTTTTCTAGAAGGAGATTGGATCTCAAAGTGTCAAAATCAATGCGCTGATACCATGATGAGAAAGAAAGGAGAAAGTTGCTTTAATCACAGAAGGATTTAAAGAGAACACAACCTAAGCATAATAGTAATCTAAACAACCACCAAATCAGTTAATCCAGGAAAACACTAGTTCACACCCATAACCAGATTAGGCAACCAATATATTCCACCTAACTGTAACCTTCAACTAAATATGTTTTGTTCTCTAATAGAGGTACTGTGATATATAGGTGGCTTTCTACTCTCTCCTTGTGTATTTTGCGACATCTATGGGAACAAATACCATGGCTGCTCATCAGGTTGGTTTTGGTCAAATTTGTCTTGTTAGTTGGTCTTTCTTTTTGTATATAAGATGGTTATTTGCATTGATCCCTCACCATTTTCTCTAGGTCATGATTCAAACATTCTGCATGTGTACGGTGTGGGGTGAACCTCTCTCTCAAACTGCACAATCGTTTATGCCCGAGTTTATATATGGAGTAAATCGAAGTTTGGCAAAGGTTTGTCCTACTCAATTCTATTAATATGGTAACATCTAATTTTCAATCTTGGTTGTACTGGTTGAGATGCGAAAATTCTTCACGTGTATTTTGGTGTGACAAATAAACTAGATAGAATACTCCTCTTTCAATGAATATGCTGTATTAATCTTTATTTATTCATTGTCTCCTGAAATTTTTTGATATGAAACAGGCTCGAATGCTGCTCAAGTCACTTGTCATCATTGGAGCTATTCTTGGTTCAGTATTAGGGATTGTCGGAACATGTATTCCTTGGTTGTTTCCCAGTATCTTTACACCTGATCAGATGATCATTCAGGAGGTTGGTTCTTGCTTTCTTGAACTTGTTAATGTTGTCCTACTTCCTGTTTCTTGTTGCCATTAATTATAAGTGGTATTGTGGTATCTTAATCAAGGGGAGATCAAGTTGGGTTTTATTGCTCCATCACAAGTTATATCGATTATTCTACAATACTGTAGGAAATGATTCCTGCACGCCCCTTTTCTCTTTCTACATACCCTTTTTTTATTTCTCTCCCTTGATTTTCCATTGATTTATTTAATCCAAAGGCCATAAATATTTAGGGGTGTGCAAGGTGAGAAAAAGAGTGCGCAAATCACTGATCCATTTGTAGCTTCCACCAGATAACATGGTATAAGTGGGTTGTGAGTCGTGACAACTGCTTTTAAACTGAATCATCACCACTTACTCTTCCAATAACATCCAACTTTTGAGCTCCATATATATATATATGATTTTTGATTGAGGGTATCCGTTGAGGAAAAAAAGTTGGACTAACTGATGTTTGTTCCATAAGGTGGCTGGTCATGAAAAATGGTAATGACAGACAAAATGTGCCACAAATGTACTAATATTCTGGTATGTGTTAATGCAGATGCATAAAGTGCTGGTACCATATTTTCTTGCATTAATTGTGACGCCCCCCACTCACAGCCTTGAGGGAACATTGCTGGTATGTTTAATTTTATCTTTAGTGGTGATTTTTCTCACATTCTTATTATAAGCATTTTTGTTTGCACAAATTGTGCCTGTCGTTTTGACCCAAAATTGTTAAAAACTACAATACTGTGTTTCCCATGGAAATAATGAGCAGTTCATCCTGTTTTTGAATGTGGAATATATGCTTTCTTGGAAGGGTTTTAGGAAATCTGATGGTCATGTTAGATATTGAATGGGATTCTAATATCTTCATGGCATGGTATAACGTCTGATGAATGCTCTTGTAATTTGTGTTAACTTCATGAAATATGCATAGTAAGCTCAATTTTCTATCTCTATTATGAGTTTTAATATTAGTTTAACTGAAAAGTTTTGACCTAGGAATTTCGTATGTGCGTCCTAGTTGATGTTAGGTGTCTACATCCCCCTTCTGCCATGCTTCCCATTATCAGAATTAACACTTAAGAGAAATAAGGAAACACATAAGCCTCTCGAGATGTTAGGTTTTGGGAAATCATACTTCTGGAAGTAGCCTTTTCTTTTGTTTGTGAAATTTGAGTATCACAGGACAAACACGTATTCAACAAGATTGTTCTGCTGATTGTCATATTTTCTTGGTATCCACTATCCAAATTATAACTAAATACCCTCTCATGATTGAAATGTTTGGAGTTAAAATAAACTTCAACTTATTCGTTGATTTTAGATATTACTTTAGAGAGCTCTCTCCGATCATAGTTACAAACTTTTCTCCAGCATCAATATTTTGTTTCTTTCAGGCCGGACGAGATCTCAGATTTATTAGTCTGTCCATGAGCGGATGCTTTTCCTTAGGTGCACTGCTATTGCTGGTAAGATATTTTTCTGGTGTCTTCTTAAACTGTTGTCGGTTCTTTCTTTATACATACACTAACACTACCCTCCTTATTTTTTCTTCCACCAGCTTGTGAGCAGTAGAGGAGTTGGCTTAGCAGGCTGCTGGTGGGCACTGGCAGCATTCCAGTGGGTAAGCGCAATATCTCTCTGGTTCGGCCTGTTTTAAAGTATTTACCGATTTGAATTTGTCTGAATACCAGTCTTCATTCTCAGAGTCGGTTTTTCCTCTCTCTACAACGGCTGATTTCTCCCAACGGCATACTTTATTCTGAAGATATGACCCGCTTCGAATTGGGAAAACTCAAGGCTGTTTAGTCCAGGAATCAAAAGAACACAAGATACTACCACGATTAAATTCATGCTCACCATTTTAAGAGTAGTCAATTATACCAAAATTAGATGCGGTAATATCCTAGAAGCCAAAAATGAGTTTGGCACAATTCTTGTATCCATAAACGAAACGAGCAAGGTAGTCTACTTGAAGATCCGTAAAGCAGATGGAAGCCATGTTGGCTTTCTTTTCTAATCACTTTATGTGTCAGTATTATAGTATACTTTGCATGCTCATCACCAAATGACTACTCTAAACAATGAGAACTTCTTGTATGGCAAGAGTTCACCATCACAGTAGCGTCTCGTGCCAATAACACACAGACGTGAAAGAAAGGTAATACATGTTTTTGTATAATTGCCACTGGTACACCATGCCGGTGCTAAGTCCTTGCTGCATGCTTGTGTGGCAGGTGGAGAGAGTGAATAATTGGTGCCTGGGCTTGGTCTGGGAGAGTGCTACAACGCGCAGTGGGCCCCTTTCCAGGTTCTAGCATTGCTCTCTCTCTCTCTCTCTCTCTCTCTCTCTCTCTCTCTCTCTCCTTTCCAGGTCTGGGAGAGTGAATAATTTGGACTTGGAACAATGCTCGTACCTGGTGGTGCCACGGTGCTCATACCTCCAGCAACTAAAGAGGGAGAATTAAACAACTGTTATAAGTAGTGGATTGTCTTAGTGGTTAGGGTTTTAAATCTATGGTGTTAAGGTTTCAAACCCTCCTTCCTCTCCATTAGCGTAGGAGATCACTTGTAATGAAAATAAATAAACAATTGCCAATTTGTCATCATGCACCAGAAAGTGTAGGTTCTTTGAAGTGTAGGATTCCAAAGAACCTATTCTGTCATGACAAGAAAATCTTTAGCTTTGGGTTCAATATAGAAAAAGCTATGGCCGCATTGCTTGACAAAGCGGCGAAACAAGGATCGCAAGGATTTACATGGAACGGGTTCATCGTCACATGTTTCTTATCTAATAATGCACTATCATGTGCAAATTTTTCTTCATACAATATATTATTAGCTTGGGACGTGACGGTGGACCTGTTCCATATATATATAGAAGACGCATAGAAGACTAGAGGAGGAGGAGGGGAGGATTGAAATTTTATATTATTATTATTTTTTTCTTTTGTAGCTGACGCAGAGAGGTAAAGAAAATCCTAGGACCTAATTTGAAAACCTAAACCAATAATACTAGGTAGAAATATAATTCCTTGTAAACTTTTCTAGTTTAAGTATGATTGTGTAAATCCTAGATTAGATTTGATTATAATTATTCTTTCCTATATGGACTTGAATTCCTTGGGGATGAAGGATTTCTTCTCTCTCTTATTACTATAAATAAAGACATTACGTAAGAGGGAACAAAACACAGATTCCCCCACAATTATACAAACACATCTCTCTCTCTCTCTCTCTCTCTCTCTTTTCTCTCCTTGCCGCCGGCCCCTTTCCCTTTGTTAGATAAAATAGGCTGTAACACGTTATCAACACGCTCCTACTGCTGTGCTTAGGAATCTGACGTTGAAGCTTTTTCTGCATCAAACCAGTTCATCCATATCATTGCGCAATTAGGTTCTTCCAAAACAATGGTTTTTATCTCGATATTTTTGCAGCCTTGATAACATGAACATTCACCATAATGTATGACCCAAAATTACGCTTTTCGAATTTTAGATTCTACATAAATTGTGTATGCATTATATTCATAATTGTTGAATTATGTGAATTTAATATTGCCATGAACTGCATTAAATATATGTCCATGCATTAAATTATTAAATTATAAATGCAATTGAATTTTATAAATCTGGAATTGAAAAAAAATATAAAGGATTTTGTTTAGGGTTTCGTCGAAACCCACCTATGATGGGCCACCCCCGTTACCTTCCCAAGCCAAGAACCTAACCCTGGAGCCACGACTCCAGGCCCAAAACCTAGACTCGACGCTCAGAAGGTGTCGCCCCCATGAAACCGTTGAGTAGCATGGCTTGCAGCTATGCCCAACCACCTCTGGTTACCCCTTGACGACCTAAAGTCGTCCCTAACGAGTTCTTGTTTTTGAAATTCGATTAAAATTGAAAAATTCTAAGGTTTTACTATGTTGAGAGTTTTTCACTCTTCGTTCAATTTTAAGGGTTGACGTTGCACCCACGATCTTTGCTATCATTTTTGCACCAAGACACGACCGCCTGAAACGGCGGCGCCGGTTCTCTTCTCCTGTGATTTCACCTAGCTCGCACTGGGGTGTCTGTGTCACAGCAAATCCAAGCCCACTTGGGCTTGACCTATCCCTCGGCAATGCTTCAGCCCTTTGGGCCCATGCTTTGTGTTCCCGTATCCCCACCGCAGTGGAACCTCACTCCCGTAGAGCACCCGATGTTCCTTGCACCCGGTAGCACAGGATTCCTGCCCTTGCACGAGCTCTTCCTTTTTGGATCCAACCCACATTTTTGGGCCTGCTACTCGAGCCCATCTCCTTTACCCTTTTTTTTTCGCCTTGGGCCTACAGCCTACCCGAGATAATTCCAGCCTAATCTGGGCCTAGACCTCACGGTAGAGATTTGCTTAGCCCACCCAAGGGCTTTGGCCCATGTTTTTAGGCCCCGAGCTTAATTGTTTAATTTTTTTTAAGACAATTTGGGTTTTATATTTTTTCACCCATACTTTAAATTTGGCTCGAAGTCCAAATAATTAATTCAATTATAATTATAGACCTGAAGTTCTATTTACATATTTTCTTGTTGCATATTTCAGTATATATTTGCATTTGTTTGCAGGAACATATGAACCTGAAGTTCATAATTATTTCGAAACCTGAAGTTTCTATAAACATGCCTTGTTTGAAAACTTGAAGTTTTCCTTAAAAACATCACCCATGAAAACCTGAAGTTTTTTCATGCGAATTTTAACCAATACATGTCTATTAGAACCTAAATTTTCTACTCCTATGTAAATGGATTAATTTTTCTTTCTCCATTACACTAATCACATCTTGTCCTTTATTTTGTGATAGGAACATGTCGAATTTGAACAAACTCGACTTCACTGCTTTGGAGGTCTCTGGAAGGAACTACCTCAAGTAGGTCCAAGATGTGAAGCTCCACCTCATTACAAAGAATTTGCGTCCTTCCATTGAAGATGAGATGGACAACCCGGTTGGTGAAGTTGAGAAAGGCACTACCATGATCTTCGTATGAAGACATATTCATGACGCACTACAAACCAAGTACCTTGCTAATGAAGATCCATGAGTACTATGGGTCGATTTGGTTGATCGCTTTGATCACCAAAATGACATCTTCTTGCCTGAAGCAAGACATGACTGGTAGCATTTGTGCTTCCAAGACTTTAAGTTTATGAATGAATATAATTTTGAAGTTTGTCGAATCCGATCATTTCTCAAGTTTTGTAACGAAACTTTGACCAAATAGGATCTCCTGGAGAAGACCTATTCGACATTCTGTTCTACAAATATTGTCCTACTACAACAATATAGAGCACATAAGTTCACCAAGTTCTCGGATTTGATCTCTGTTTTACTTCTTGCCAAAAAGCAAAATCAACTGTTGATGAAGAATCATCAAGCTCGACCTACTGGAGCGACTGCTATGCCTGGATCACACTATAGCATAAACCAATGCCCAAAATGCCACAAAAGGCATGGTAGGGATGGCCAGAAGCCACCCCGTCAAGGTCAACAAAGCCAAGGCCCATCTAAGGGAGGAAACAAAGCCCAAACGAGCCTAAATCTCGCTCCTAAGACCCCAAACTTCAAGAATAAGGGCAAAGCACCTGAAACCATGGATGCAAATATGTGTTATCGCTGTGTTTCAAAGGACCATTGGTCCTGTGTTTGTCAAGCTCCCCAGAAGGTTGTAGTTGAATATCATTCTCATCGTAAAAAGTTTGAATCAAACTTTGTGCAAGTGGACGAACCAGAGAGTACCAAAATGGAGGTTTCTAACTTTCAAGAGACCGTTACCCCTATGGAAGATTAGAATCTTAGACATAAACTATTTTTTTTTAGTTAAAATAAGACAATGCAGCCGAATTCCGCATTAGTGGCCGAACCCTACCTTGTTTTTTGGTTAATTTTGAACAATTTTCCTTTATTTTTGGATTATTTGTTGGTGATTTGTTTTTGGATATTAAGTTTTTAATTAATTTCCGTCCTTGAATACTTAAAATTATTTTGAATGGATATTTGTTTTTAGAACTTTTATGTATGTGACTGATTCAAATTAATTTTTATTCTAGGAAGGACTTGTAGGAAAGTTAGTTGTCTGGCAGATAGTACAACCACGCACACCGTTTTGTGTGAACGCATCTATTTCACTAACTTCATACCTAAGAATGCACCTCTGACAACCCTCTCAGGCCCATCCAACATGATCGAAGGATATGGTAAGACGCGTATAATATTGTCCAATGGTACAATCTTGACCATTGATGAGGCACTTTATTCTCTGTGTTCCAAAAGAACATTGTTGAGTTTTAAGGACATTAGAGATAATAATTACCACGCTAAAACCTATGTAGAAAATGAAGTTGAATTTTTGTGCATAACCTTTCTACGAATATGGCCAGAAGCATATTCTAGAAAAGATGAAGCGTATCCCGAGTGGTTTGTATATTACGACCATACGTCCCATAGAGAGCCACTATGTGGCCGACCTTACCTTTGGGATCACGCACGAAATTACACTTTGGCACGATCGTTTGGGACATCCTGGACGAATAACGATGCGCGGTATCCTCAAATCATCACAAGGGCATCCATTAACCCCGAAGCTTAGGTTCGATTCAAGGAATTGCATGTTAAACATGTTCTATGGGAAAGCTTATTACTAAGCCTTCTTATGACAAGATTCGCTGAAATTTTCCCATTTTTCTACAAAGGATTCAGGGGGACATTTGCGGACCAATTCACCCTCAATGTAGACCATTTAGATATTTTATGGTTTTGGTTAACACTTCCACACGTTGGTCACACATGTGCTTGTTGTCCACAAAGAACGCTGCATTTTCCAAATTGTTGGCTCAGGTTATCAAGCTCAGGGCTCACCACCTTGATTATCCGATCAAATCTATTCGATCACACCTAGAACAGCCTGGCAGAGGCATTCATTAAGTGCTTACAAATGGTTGCTTGATCGTTGGTTATACTTACCAAGCCCCCGATCGCTGCTTAGGGCCATG